TATGATTTTATGATCCTATGAAATCACTGGTGATCTGCAGCATCAAGCCACTGGATGGGTTCAGTCAATAAACTACATTCATTTAAAAGAATCAGTATGAAAAACTTAAAAGCACTTTTCAGAAGCAGACACAGGCCACCATCTTATAATAAACTTATAACAATCTGCACATTTAATCTATTTAGAGTCACATTTCGCTCATTTCTTCATGGCTAAGTGTTTTATGCGCCCCCGAAGTGCTATAGGCTCAAAATTGATGATTTTCCTCCTGTAAACTGTAAAATAAATAATTATATAGGCAGAGAAACTTGTAAGATTCAATTTCCTGTGACTCACTTGCTATCTGTCACTCTTTCACAAGCTCTTTGTGTGGGTTCTCTATCTCTAATAATGTGACTGATAATGTTAAACTCCAGACATCACTCTCTTGGGTAGTATAAAGCAGCAGTGATCACAGACAAGCTCTTCATGCTTTCTGTTCTCACTGAACCTTGTGAGAAGCAGCCAAAAAAGGTTCCGTCATAACCATTTCATTTCTACAGGGTGTGTCAAATCTGGAGCAAACCAAAGCGGATTGCTACCAGGAGAAAAGCAGCCCAGGAGGGATGCTGTAAAAGAAGCAATGGAAGCATTAATGCAATTGGTCCTTGACCCTGAGAGCTGTGACAGTAGTTTTTGATTTCTGGGTGGTGTTGCTTCTTGCTTCCTGGGCATGGCCAAAGGAATTAGAAAACATGTGGAGTTTCTTAATTGAAAGGAAAAAAATAATTAAAAAAAAAAAGGTGTTTTCAAGAGCTGCAGAACTAATGACATTTATCCATCTCTTGAGAGCAAGATCCCACCTGCATGATGTTCAGTCAGGGGTGAGGTGACCTCAGTGCCCTCCTCAGTGGAGTTTTAATAGTTTATACTTAATCTAGTTAAAAAAAAAAAAAACACAATAAAACCAAAAAACAGGGACTGTTCTCCATTCTTGAGACCAGCTGATCACATCTAAGCACTATGATCTCCCAAACCAGGCTGGTTCCCACTCCATGCATCTTTCATACCTGTGTCCAACATTATTTGGGGCAGCACTATCTGCCCTATGGCAAAAACATGCCAAGGACCATGCTTACACTTGACCAGTATAGACTATTAGCATGTACCAAAGGTCAGACACATGGCCCAAGTTTCTCATTTATTTAGCATAAATGTAACTACAAGGGCATTTTCCTCTATGCAGTCATGGTAACTTCTAGAAATTTTAGGGTTCTTCTAGAAGAAAATTCAAGTTGGATTTCTTTGGGAGAGACAGAATACTTTATTATATAAATTACCACAGCTGGAAGAAGCAGCAACAACTTTGGGCATCCATCCATCCATCCATCCATCCATCCAGTATGAAACTGAAGCAGCAAACATAGGCCAAGTGAAAGTTGGGGAAAAAACTGTACTGTATTTAAGTTAATCGTGTTAACTATGGAGAACAGGGGGATTTCTAAAAAAGCCTCAGTAGTACCAAACCTCATCATCAGCTTTCACTATATTTTGTCTCCTCTTTGTCATTTCATCTTTTGCTAAAAATGAAATTCAGATCAAATTTTTTAACAGACAGATTCACAACATCTTATGCATCAGGACATTTTTGGCAGCATGCGTCTGACACGATTTTTTCCACCTCTTAGGAAAGTTCTGCTAAATATTCATGCATTTCCCATTGAAAGAAACCTGATTCCTGGCCAAAATGAAGCTTGTCAGCAGACGGAACAGGAGGGCTCCTTCCTCCCTGTTGCACCTCTGATTCCCACAGGTTTTGCTTCACACCTGGTCTCTGCAGACAGATGCTTTCAAAGCCAAATCACTCTACTCTGGAAATGGGTTACAACCTGAGATATTATCAATTCATTGCATTGTTTTTAAAGATTGGGGGTTTTAATTTTATGCAGAATTTCTAGTTTGTGGGAGTTTCTTACAGAGTTCAGCACCATCTGTCTATCAGATGTTGCTGAGAAATAGCTGTTTTAAAATAAGTTCAAAACAAAGCATGAATTTTTCTTTTAACATGTTTTCTTCTTTTGAGAGAGCTCTCACAATTATATTTGCTATTAATGACAAACAGGAAGTGTTATTGAAAAAATTAATTTGTCTAAGAACACTTCCATTAAGAACTGTTTTATAGTCTTGTTTTCCACCAAAACCCTTTTAACACAGCTGTAAACGTGGCGAGGAAAGTGACACAGTCACAGGAAGGGTTCTGATTTTCTGGGTACTTGGCACCAGCTGCTGATGAGATTTGTGCCTGGGGTCAGGACGGATGTGTGGGGGACAGCGACGGGAATGAGCTTCCGTGTGGGTGGGAGCTGTCATTAGGAAGCAGACTGTCAGCACCTGCTTCAGAAAGGATGACAGGAGAATTCATGCTGGAAGGGGCCACAGAGGTCTCTCGCCCAATCTCCTGCTAAAGCAGGAGCAGCTCTGAGGCCAGACCAGGCATCTCAGAACAGGTCTAGCTTTCAAACTGTCCCAGGATGGAGGATGCACTATCTCTTCAGGCAACCTGCTCCAATGCCTGACTGTCCTTACTGGGAAGAAGTTGCTATTTATACCCAGGCTGAACCTCTCCCCTTTCAGCTTAAACTTGGATACTTTCATTTTCCCAGCAAGCAGCACCATAAGGAGCCTGGCTCCATCTCCTTGATGACCTCCCTATAAATACTGGAGGTGCCCTTAGGTGTCCTGCCACCAAAGCCATCCCCTGTCCAGCCTAACCAGCACAGGGCTCAGCTCCTCTGTTACAGCCCAAAACCAATTACGCTGGCCCTGTGCTGAACTTGTCCCTGTTTATCAATTACTTACTTCTACTGGGGAACATGAAACTGGACAGAACATCCAGACATAGGGTAATGAGTGCTGAGAAGCTGTCTCCTAAGTTAATTGTCTCCTAAGTAAATGGTCTGAGAGATCTATGAGATGTCACTTTGCCCCCAGCTCTTTCTGTCCCGCTGCCAGTGGCTGCTGCCCATAACCCTCAGTGATCAAAAATACAGCATGCATTTCAGCTGTGCCAGGGAAAACTGGAATTGAAAAAAAGCAGTAACGAGGAGCAGTAGAAGGCCACGTATGTTTTCCCCTGCTTCTGCAGCTATGGAGGGTAGCAACTTCTAGTGGATGGGAGGGCTGGAAAACAGCAGCTCTTATGTGAAGTACTTTGGCCATAAACTTCAAAGTGCTTCCCAAAAGGAGGCTGGCTTGCTATTCCTGTTTTACAAATAAGAAAGCTGAGGAAAAAAGGAGGGAAGTGTTTTGACTGAATTCACCTAGCAGCTGCTGGCAGAGGCAGGCAGAGATTCCGAGCACTACCCACATATTGTGCTGCCTCTCAGAGCAGGGACCACTCCCTGCCTCCTCCAGGTATGTGCTCCCCTAGGTGCTCTGCTATGTGATAGCTAATTCCTACTTGGAAATCAGGCTGGTGACATGATAACAACAGCCTTCAAACCACGCAGATTGATGGCTTCAAAGCATAAGCGCTGATCAGAAATATCATGAATTAGTCATAATCTTATCAAAAATATTTTATTTATGAAAGTAACAATTATACTATACAACCTATATTGGAAGTACATTGAATAATTGCTAGAATAAATACAGGCAATTAATTCAATCTTTTTATAGAATGAGAGGATTTATTTGACATTTGAATGTTAACCCAAGCTTTAACTTACATCATAAATAGTTAAAAGGCGTAGTCAAGTTTTTTTTTATTATTTTTACTGTTTCTTTTGCATTTTTTAATACTGTTCTATTTTGTAATCAACATGAATCAACTCTCCAATCATTAACATAATATTAGTATGACTTTCAAGCAATCATGTACCTCAAGATAATCAGACAAATAAGGTAGTGTGTGTGCAGTTCATTCTACAGCAGAATCTATTCATGTCTGCATTAAAAAAAGAGAAGCTGAAAATGCTTCCAAGTTCTTTAAGCATCATATGCTGATTTCTGCTTTACCACAGTGCTTTTAATACCAGAATCTAAAAAGGGCATATATCTGTGTGCAGCTGGATTTCTGTTGCTCTTTATAAAGTATAGTAGGGCTCAATGCCACATTCCTTTGGCTGGTGAAGGACTGCAGAATTTAGTCCTGAATAGTATTTTTCAAAACCATGGTCCAAAATAAATGTCCAGGACTGATTATTAGGCACCAAGGAAGTGATGGATTTGCTAAGGCTTGGTGTTTTCTTATAAAAAATTGGCTTCTTTTCTGGTAGATACGGTCTAATGAAACACAAATTATTGGGCTCAGTACTGCGGTCTGTATTACACTGGGTCTCAGAGAAGCTGATGTTCAGGTTTTCTGTAAACATGTGAAGGGCACTGCAGAAATTCTATAGTAAGACACCCATAGTTTGAAAGTATTGATAAGTTTTCCTTCCATGTATTTCTTTAAACTAAAATATATGAACTATCTGCATGGCACTAGCAGATTATGAACTATGACCATCAGTGAAGTCAATAGCACTTTTGGGTGTCCGGTGTTTCTCTAGATGAGAAATTTTGACTCCTCAGGTCCCATATAAAATCAGTGGGAGCTTTCCATTTGCTATGTCTTTTCCAATGGCATGGAGGCCTGTCTTGCCTTATGGTTATTGTGCATGCCAGAGATATCATGCTCTCAGCAGAAAAGCAAATTTTCCTTTTACAATGTTATCCAAACCAAAGCCCCAAATTGCACATATCTACTACCCCTTTGGCCTTTTTTTTATGCACAAATATGCTTGTATTCAAAAACTGACAATGTTGGGCCTTTCCTAATAAATGTCTTCAAAGAGCACATTTAAATGCTTTTTCACAGAAATAACCATTCATCAGTTGCAAAAATGCAGAGAGACTTTTTATTCTTTCTGTTGTGAACAATTCAGCACAAATTTTTGGGGAGAAAGTATGCTTTTTTTTTCCCAAATGTATTTAAAAAGGCTAAAGAACAAAATGTTGGGGGAGGCAGCTTTTTTGGCAGATAGTAAAATATAAAGTATGTGATTTAAAAAAAAAATTGGCTTAAAAATACACACACACAAATAATACAATAATATAAAAATACAGCTCAGCCAATGGCCTCTTAAAATTTACCTTTGGCATTACATTTGGCAGCCTAACACAAAAGACCCTTCCTAGAAACAGAACTATAAAAAAAAGAGAAGTTCATAAATTAGGTTGCAAGGGGTTGTAAGATCCTTTTCGCGATTCTCCAAACTCCTTTCCTTCCTGTCCACACACATAAGCATGACCAGTGAGGTATATAGAACATAACACTGTCAGGCATATGCACAATAGGAAAGTGCATAAACATAGAAGTTCTCCCCTTTTCTTGCGAACAGGACGAAACTGTGTGGTTTGTGTCTTTCCCCCCCTCCCCCGCCCTTGGAAAAAAGTATTCATGTTTTATTGTTTGCTTTTTTTCTTACTTTGGCAGGATGAAAATGAACCCAGAGGAATATAAATGTCTTATTCCCAGCAGCAATGATCCATTTCCCTTGGCAACATTCGTCTGATGCCACAGATACTACAAGGTCGTTGGGTTGCTTTACAACTCTCTGGGTAACTTTGCACGGAAACATCATACGTCTAGCACCATGTCATAGTGTTGCTCTTTCTTCCGCCTGCCACATTTGGTGATAAGAACCAAGTACAAAGTCAAAAGCATAACCCAGTAACATGCATAGAGTATTGTGCCAATGATGAGAACTGTCTGTTTTGACTCAGAAAATGGCTTTTTTGATTCCTTGTAGATAGTGAAAATCACGCCACCTAGGAGGATTGTAAACCAAATGGAGACTGGAATGAGTCCTATAAAATTAACTACAATGGTTTTTCTTCCTGACGTGCCCCACCCTGCTTTGTTTATCGTGGCAATTGCAAACATCTTTGCTGGCAGTAAACTTGACATGTACAACACTGAGTAGAGTGACATGAAAACCATGACAATGTTGCCCCTAAGGAAGCTGGCAAATGAAGACTTTATCAGGCCCACTAACTGAACTGTCAACAAGAAGAGGAGGATGTTCCAGATTTTTCCCCTGTAGAAGAGCTGAATGACTGTGGCGATAAGGAAGAAAGGAAAGAATCCAGTGATTACAGCTTCATAGGTCATCCACAAATGGTGCTTGTGGAACCACATTGCATTATAAAGCCACTCTCTAAAGTACGATTTACTCCAGCGGGTCTGCTGATTCAGCCACCTGAGATACTCTATCGGTGTTTCGGTAAGGCACTTGGATCTAGCTGTGTATTTTGTTGCATAGCCCAGGCTTAGCACTCTGTTAGTTAGATGTCTGTCATCTCCAAAGCTGCACTGGGAGCCCATAAATTCTTGATTGTACCAATCTTCCACAAATTCATGGAGTAAAGAGTTTCTGTACATCCCCAGAGGTCCACTGATGCACTGTACACAGCCAAAATAGGACTGACAGGCTCTTTCTATGTTAAATGCCATCCAGTATCTCACACTGCTCAGAAAGGAGATCCAGGAATCATATTTGTTCAAAATCTGAAAAATAAAAAAAAATTTCATTTTAGATGAGCTCTTGAGACAGAAAATACGTACACTGGATCAATAACGAATTTGCAGAGACTAGAGCACTGTTAGCCAAAATACAGGAGGAACCTCATTCCTGTATCCACTCACGGACACAGTTCTATATGGTCCAGGACATTGACAGGAAGGGCAGTATGAAGCCTTCAGAAGTCTGTTCCACCAAAATGCTCTCTTTTTCTTTGCAACCCTTCCTATTCTTCACCAAGAAATTTATTTTCTGGGTCATTGTTCCCTTCCCTTCACCCCCAGTTTAGGACCTGCTGGACTCGGCCTCTCCTGAGAGGAGATGGTGGAGTCCCAGGCATGGTCTCCTGCTTCTCTGCCCCCTGCACACATCTTTAGAACTCACAGAACTTCTTCCAGCCCTCCTAAAGCTATGCTGGAGCATGAGAAAGGTTCAGCACATGGGTTTTGGCCTACATCGTTGGTATCGTAAGGCTGGCCTTAGAGGTTCGACCCTAGGCTATGTCCCCATATCTAACATCAGTCCCTCTGAGGAGCAACCTGTTCTGCTTTGTCTCTGCAGTACCAGTCCTGCTACACTGCTCCACAACACACTGTAATACTCCATTAGAGTCTTGCTTTGGCCTGCATAAAGGTGTCAGTCTTTCTCTTCTGTATGCCCCAAAGCTCACCTGAAGCTCAGGCCTACATTTAAAACACTGCACAGACATAGCCCAGGAGTCTGGTGCCCAAGTCCATGTCTTCATATTCAAGTTCTCAGCACACACCTTGTGATGGGGAATGTGGCAAGGAAGTGTGTAGCAGGGTGGCTGTGTCAGCTCTGCACCCATATCTTCTCAGTCTGGGGATTTACAAAGGAATTTGTGGCCTTCTAGAACTAGAATACATTTCCCTGCAACTAGGAAAAAAACCCCAAAACAACAGACTTTTGCTCTGATGGTCTTAATTTCTGTCAGGTTTGAAGGCCAAAAGCCAATCTCATCTTAGTTTCATTTCAATTCTGGAACAGTTTGGAAGCAGCAGGGCACAGGGCTAGGCTCAAATGTATCTGGTGTATGCTGGAAAGTGAACTTCGGGGGGGGGGGAAAGCCTAAAGCCTTCATTCTGCCACCTTTCCTCCCAGAGGGGATACATCCTTCCCACCTCTCTGCAGATGCTTATGAACCTTCACTGCTATAGCTGAACCTGTATTGTCTCCCTCCAGTTGTACTCACACGTGCCTGGCATCTCACATGCGCAGGGGCAGTGAGATGCCTGGTCCATGGTCAGTCCAGAGCTGCAAAGATATTCAGGCTTCTGTGGGAATCTTAATTTCTGGAGTTAAGAGCCACATGCCTGAAATACTTCTGACTACTGGGGGTATTCATTAGCAAGTGCTTGCCCATATAGATGGCCTTTCTCCTCCGTCTCACATAAAAGCCCAACTGAGTACGGGGGACTGATCCTAAGGCCAACTGAAATATCCATATGCATTTTTCTTTGTAAGTTGCAGCAGAAGCAATTGTGTCTAAAGGAATGAACAGCCTTTTGCTGCAGTTATCAGCCAAACTCAGCAATGCTGGAAATCCTAACAGAAGTGGAGCTGGGCTGACTTGGGGGTTTTCCATTGCCCTGCCTGACAGAGATGCAGAGGAAACCCAACAATACCCAGATTGCATAGTGCACTGAATTTCAAAAAGGCTTTTATTCCTAACAATCTTGGCTTCTATTTGTAACATAACTGAAGTGCTTGGGGTGCTAAATTTGGCTTTGGGAGTCCAATTCTCAACTCCCTGCTCCCCTATAGCTTTCCTTTGGTATCCTGAGCAAACAGTTATACCCAGAGACTCAAAGATGCCACAACGGTCCTGACAATGCCAGTACCCCACTTTTCACATATAGGGAGAATATTTGTTTGCTTTCTATGGGTGCTGAAACCATACAGTACTCACATCCAAGAATAAGAGTTTCCATTCAACAGACAGAAAGATTAAGGTATCAAAAAAGCCTCTATAATGGTATCACAGTATATTCAATGCTACTCCAAGCAGGGAAACCTGTTGCAGTGCCAATACTTGCTGAAATCCCTCTGCTCAATCTTAAAATTGTTATATTCACCTGCACATCACCTCCGACTCCTCCAACCATTGGATCTTCTTCTAAAACCTTTACCATCTCCACTGATGAGGCTGGATCAAGCATTGTATCTGAATCACAGACCTACAAATAAAACAAGAACAAAAATGGGTTAAGGAGCACACTAGAGGAGAAAATAAAGATCATGTGAGTGACTGCAATGACCCTAAATGCATATTCTTCTTAACGTAGTTAAATCTCTCTTTAAGTCTGCATTGATACTTTTATTAAAAACTATTTGTATCAGGCAGCAAGGAGTGGTGCTGAACAAAACAAAGTGCTTGTTAGGGCTGTGCATGTAAACAATCCTCTCTTCTGTATCAGCTCTATTTGTTTTACTGGCACACTGAGCTAGTTTCTAATAAGATATGCTCTCAGAGATGGAGCACTGCAGAGCAAGACAATGTTTGTGGGTGTGTGGCAGAATCCTCCTGAGCCCTGACAAAGGGTTTCCCTGCATTGGCTGTATGGTGGAGCTCCCTGGTCAAATGTTTCCCACTGCCATATGAGGGAAAGAGCAAAGAGTTAAATTCCAGCCACTTGTTTATAAAAAGAAAAATTCAACTAGGAGTCTGGGAAGAAACCTGATAGTTCTTTCACTCTCAGATGGCTTTAGCAATCCGTGTAAGATATGTATTTTGGATTCCAGAACAAACTCATTTTTAATTTTAGATGCATGGTGTGTTATTAGTAGTGCAGGGATTTGACATTTGATATATAGAAATTATTTGCTATTTTCCCCTGGCATTCTTATTAAAAAAAAAAAAGTAAGGCCAGAAGGAGCAAGTCCTGAAGTGCAGTGCTCCACAAAACCAGGGCAGAAATAGATCACTCACACTAGGCGTTTCAGCCACACAAACACTCCTAGTCAACTAAACACTGTGTACATTAGGAACTGGCTTTCCCCTGGAGAGTAGGAGGAGGGCTCAGACAGGCTGGCCGGCCTGAGAGGCAGCTAGCATTGCTTTCGTTTGCTTGGAGGAGAATGACACGGGCTGCAGCCTGTTTCAAACAAGTTTCAAACAAGTGGGTGTCTCCTTGTCGCTGCTGCTGCAAGCAGTGTCCCCACCGTGTGTGAACTCATTTTGCAGACACCCAGAAACCGAAGCAGAAGAGGCTGTCCCAGAAACACCTCCCTGGCTGGCTGAATCCTGCCCTAAAGACTTTCATACTGCTTCCAGTTTATCCCCACAGTGCATTCCTATGCTTTCAACGGGGACGGTAGCAGAAAAAGTCGATAGTTCTGCATGAACAACATACAAAGTCAAATTCTGGTGATGTCTAATATTGGGTATCCTAATTTTGGTGTCCTTTCATCCAATCTTTCAATTCAGCCTAAGCCTTCGCACTCCAGGAGAGCAGAAACCTTCATGTCTAGTCTATGAAAAGGGAGGAGATCATTAGGGGTCTCTACTGCAGACTACACTCAAGCCTGTGATAGTTGGGCTGCATTGTCTGGGATGCAGCTGAATGTCTGCCAGCATGCTCCCCTCCATGCTCGCTGGGGGGACCAAGAGGAGAAAGGTGATGAAAGCTCTCATATTTCCTCCAGGAGAAAAGCCACAAGCATTTCCAGCTCCCGCTAACTTGTTGCATCCAACTCTTCTCCTCAAGGGCTTAATCCCAAGGAGTACCTCTGTAACTAAGGTGTGCCTCCAACTATCATCAGTGACAGCACTCAGTGATAAAAAGGGAACAAAATAATTGCTGAAGAAAGGATGCCTATATGCTTATCTGGAGCCTCCTGGACAAAGCTGTCACTGAGAATTTCCCACAGGGAATCTGTAGTTTGGTGAGTACCCAAGAGCTCAGGCAGAGATACTCATTCATTTCTTGTGACCACGACTGATGGGCTGGGACCGGCTCCCTCCCCAGCGCCTCCGCTTTCCCTCCAGTGCCTGTCACCTGAAGCAGCTGAGCAGCCCCCACCCCATCAGATTCATTTATCTATAGCAGAAATACCTGCCCATGAGCAACATCACTAATAGAGATGAAGAATCCTAAAAATGCTGGATTTATTTACAAATTACCAGCAAGTGTCCTGGTAACACACGTGGACATGTCTGGGGTTTGGGGGCAAACCTAAAAACCATTATTTTCCATCAGGATGAGGCTTTTGAAGGTGAAAAGAGGACAAACCCAGAGAAAGACAGACACTTAGGAACCCAAACAAAACACAGCAAGGACTGCCCAGACAGGGGTGGCCCAGCACAGCCCAAGAGGCAATTTGCCATCTTTCCACATAAGGGCTGTGACCTAGAAATTACTGCCTTGGGTCACAGAGTTGCATGAAAGGGTTATAATGAGTCCAGACACTCATTATAACCAGTGGCAGTTTATCCAAGCTGCTCTGAGAAGTTCAGGCTGCACTGGACTGTCCACACAGGTACCTCCATCAAGCAAAGATGAATTGGAGCCTGGCTGCTCCGTCCAGCTCTGCACAGATGATACCTACCAGTTTAACTCCTGTGCATGCTTGCACCCTCCTAACCTCCTCCAGGATGGAAAGAAGCCTTCATGGCAGTTTCACGTATTTAATGAGACACCACTAATGAGTAACAGCTCTTTATCTGCTTTGGTCAGACTGCTTATGATTGCCAGCCCATAACGCCAAGGTGTCTTAAGAACCATAAGGCCCACAGTTTTCGGGGTGGGAAATAGTGCTGACCTGTCCACTTTGCTAAGTACCTGATCATCAAGATTGATCAGCCCTTAAAATGTGTGGCCTCTTTAGAGTAATTTACCCTGGGTACCCCCAAAGAACCATTTGAAATATCTCAACCTTCATTCATTCATAAAACAGAGTTACATTTTAGCTGCATTACATTATGACTGTGCAGAAGCCAGGGCCACCAAGGTGCTGCATTTCTAATATAGGTGTGTCTGTAGATGTGATGGAGACGTCTGTGGCTTCAGTCGCTACTGCAGCTTTTGGGGCAGCAGCATTACAGTCCCTGACACATTCATTAGGACCTCTGAGCCAGGTCAGGGGTGTTAACTAACTGAAAGACCAGTAATATCGCTTCCATTTTCTCAGTTTATGCTATGACTGTTGAAATAGAAACACTTTTTCCAGGTTCCCTGAACAAATGCAGGAGCTGGACTGAGGGAGGAAACTTGCAATGAATACATTTCCTCTCTGCCTTCTCTCTCTGCAATCTGATACTTCTGTGTGAAGTGATTATAAAACCATGCTAATAAAGAAAACCAGCATTTTTATCCCACCACAGTGCCTCACAGCACAGAACTGAAGTGCAGACAATGGAGAGCTTAAACCCATTGTTTCCAGAGAATAAATCAGTTTCAATTTTGGAAGTGTTAGGGGATGGGGATGGGTTTTAAATCTTTGCTTTACACTCCCAGCTCCAGTAGCAGAGTAGTTCCTGGCACTCTTCAGTTTCTGCCCCTACTGTGTGCGAAGGACTCACTGCTCTCAGCCCAGCTACTGGAAGCCTCTACGTGGACACTGTGCATACAGATGCTGTGTTTCTGGACCACAGAAGCACAAGTGGCTCAGCCATGCAGCTGCCCTGAGCCAGCAAAGAGCATTTCATGGGCAGCTGAAGAGGAAACCACTGGATGCTCTGAGGTTGGGAGAAGGTGGGAAGGGCTGAGGGTGGTTAATTAGGAAGATCATCTCGTATTCAGGGAGGAGTGCTGGCCTCGATCAATAAGGAGGGATCCTCAGTGTCCACCCAGAGGCCCTGATCCTACCCACTTTCCTCCACACATGGCCTCCTCCCCTTCCCACAGTCAGCAGGGCTGTTTGCAAGAGTGAGGAGTGCTTCCATGTGTAAGGCAGAAACATAGAAAATCTTTCATGGGATCCAAGGCAGCTGGAAAGAAATGTGTCTCTGCTGCTTTGGAAACAGGGAGAGAGGACCCAGCCTAATTCATTTTTAAGTGAATAGTGTCATAAGGGCTTTAAAGGCCAAGTCGCGGTGAGTGAGGTAATGCAGCTGTAAGTGATGAAGCAAAAGCTCCTTCAGGCTTTAGCTGAAAAAATCTTTCTTTCAAGGCTGCACATTGACCTTTTTACTGAATATTCGGCATGGCCTTCAAAGCCTATAAAATATTCCCATCTTTTTTACAAACTCCAAGATATTCCCTAGCGCCACCAAAATACCTGCGTGTCTGCTTGCATATGGGGCCGCTAGCAACCTCACAAAATAAAACCTTACCCAAGATCTTGACCTACAGAAGCAGAGATGGGGTCTTCAGAAGGCCACTGGCATTGTCTAAAGCAAAACCATGTAGATGAGGGGCAGTACTGAGGTCTGTGGAAGGATTTCAGATTTCTGCAGTAGCTGGTGCACTGATTTAATGTATTCACAGATAGACTGACCATTTTAAAAGGTAGCAAAATACGCTTTTAACGGTCAAGCTGTTTCCAAACAGACTGAAAGGAGCACTGTGTTCATCAGGGACTAGGATGGCCTCTAACATGCTGCACAAAATATACAAAAGCTGCTTTCTTTCAAAGTGTGTTTGAATTGGCACTGACCTGGTGCTCTAATACCTACCTGTACATAATCCACGCTTCTCCCCAGTGCTTTGAATGCTGTGTACATTACTTCTCTTTTTCCACCCCATTTCTGCATGATGCAAACACTTTTGTTGGACAGGACCAGCTGAGATACATGTTGCATGCTCTCTCTGTGAGACTCCTCCGTCTCACCTGGACCTTTGTCGTGAAAGTTATTACTCCAGATATAAGTGGCAGATTTGTCCCTACCCATGATTTCAGTAAAAATGTCCATCATGTAAACGTCGTCTTCTGAGTTCCCATCAATGACCATAACAACTTTAATTCCAGGGTAGGTCAATCTTTTCACAGAAAGTAAACATTTTCTTAAGTAGTCAGGATCCTCTTGATAGGCAGCAATACAAAGGGCAACTGTTTTGTTCAGCTTGATTGGAGTCTCTAGTGACCGCTTCATTTTCCTGTGCTCTAGGAAGGCAAACAGGCTTTGGATGATGAGATGTGATGCCAGGATAGCACCATAGAGTCCAAAGGAGAAGTAGTAGTTGTCTGTCTGGATGAATTGGTAGCCCACAATGTAAGCAGCGGTGATTCCCAGCAGGAGGGACACCCCAAAGAGTGTGGTTCCAAGTATTCTCAGGATACATATAAACCTCTCACAATACATCTGCAAAGAAGTATGGAAACTGTTAGCAGAGCCACCACTTGCTGATAAAGACCTCGTAAGGGGGGCACGTGACTACAGCATAGAGCTCAGCATCAACACATACATCCTGTGCTTCTGGCTGTGTCACAGACTTGCTTTACCACCTTGTTAAACTTAACAACTCTTTGCAGTACTTCCTCTGTGTAAAGATTCAAAGACACTTAATGTACCAGGGATGTGTTCTACTATTTGTAATGTCCTTACAGAGGGTGCTGTCTGTGTCAGGATCTTATTTTGGCAGCCTGGGCTTGCTGAATGAGACGCTCTGTCATACTACCCTGGGGGGTTGCAGAAGGGGCTTTTGGGCCACCACTCGCTTCATATGGTCATGGGCAAGCAGAACAGCTGAATGTCTAGGCAGCCCCTCCTCATCCCCCACCCATGTCATGACTGCATCCCCCCCTCAATTGCTTCTGTTGCTTAGTTATGTTTGCAAAAATATTGGAAAGACATTCTTAAAACAGATGTCTGAATGTATTTATAATTTTTAAACAGATGTCTGACTATATTTATAATTTATATTTATATAATCAGACATCTGCTTTAAAAGGTCTTCTCAATACCATTGCAAAAATGTGTTATTCATACATTTGTGTACATAGATATACGCACGTGTGAGCATATGTGTATAGGGCTACAGCTTGACTGAGATTAAGCCTGTGGCAAAACTACACATTAATCCAACCAAGCCAAGACTCCACCCTGGACTCAGAAATTCATTAGAACATCAGTTAATTCTGACTACTTCTGTATATTTAGGTTACCTGGTTGTGAAATCTTCTTACCTAGGCTCTGGGCTACGGAGGAGCTGGCTGGCAAGGAGGGTGCTCTGGTATTCTTGAGACAAACAATGCAGGCAGGCAGGCAGACAGGCAGACCATATTGCTACCTAACTGCTTTTTGTTGGCAATCACATTAACCATTTCATGCAACAGCTTTCTCAAAATTACAGAAAAGTTACTGACAATGTTTTATGTCAGTTCTTGCATTTGACATTAAGGACACAAACAGATAACGTCTGTTTAAAGCTAACCCAGCAAATGCATTTCAAGTCAATGAATCTGAAACTCGTGCTTGAATATTTTGCTGAATTAGGTTCTCTGAGAGTAATGAACTCAATATTTGTGTTTTCTTACTATTACTCATATTTTCCTTGCTGCTATCATCTTGCTTGTCTGCTGATCATGTTTGTTTCACCATCTGTTGGCCAAAGCTGAAGCTGGAACAGCACTTCCTTACATCATATATGTCCTTAACTCTTTCTTGAAAAAATACTACCAGGCTGCAGCAGCATAGCTGTCAGCAATTATATTTCTGTCTGAAAAGTTACAGACTTGGAAGAAAAAAGTCAACACAGCATCACTTATAAAATAAAAATAAACCAGGCGAGCACAAAGTCTGAGGTTACAAAGTCTGTGCTTTTTTCCACTGGCTATTTAGGGTCTTAAATTTCAAGACAGGAGGAAGCCTCTTAAATGTATATTTGGAGACACTGTTAAAGAAATCGGACCCTATCTCTAGGACTTCCTTGAATACTTACGGCTGGGCTCTGACAGGTGCTGTAATCACCCACCAGCAAAAGGGACTGTCCCTGCGCTGGCCTTTCTGAAAGTCTTTCACAACAAGGGGTCATAAAGAAGCCTGATAAAAGACAGCTTATGCTTGCCACCGCTATTAAATTAAAATAGTGCCCAGAATGAAAACTCAGTGTCCAAAATAGGCTTGCTTAGAAAACAGATTAAGTAATGGATCCCCTCTAGATTACCTTGAAGTCAAATAGCCTGTGCGCTTATTAATCCCTAAAGCACGCAGAAGGTCACAAACATCAAGGTGAATGTTTCATTAATGGCACAGTAGTACTCTGCTTTCCCATTTGGGGTCCACTATTTCTTTTCTCTTGCCAGAAACAGAACATTCCTATTAGTGAGTAGGGGCTAAAGTCTGCTTACATTAAGAATTATATGGCTGAAATAAATGGATCACTTGTATGGGTGGAGCCCACAGGATTTAGATTAAGATCTGGAGTGTCTACATTTGACTGACTGTATACTGTACCAGGCTTCTTATATATTAATTTGCTGTTGGTTTTCTCTTTCTATGAAGTGTTTCTACACAAAAAGAAAAGAAAAAAAAAAGGAAAGAAAATAATTCTCTGATCTTGTCATTACAGCACAGCTTCCCACCCTCGCAAAAAAACAGTCTTTTAAGATCAAGAAATGGATTTCTGGTCTTAATAAAACAGCATTTTTTTTCTATCATTTCACTGTCAACCTTGGGAAAATAAACTGTGTTTTGATCTAAATTCCTGGCTTTCATCAAAGAAACTTTCCCCTTTGCATGTGCAATTTAGGTTTTTATGTATAGTCTTTTAACTGACTGAAACGCAGGGAAAGTCTGGAAAAAGTTGCTCAATATTCTCAGGCTTTAGCACGTGAGCTATTGATAGCTTGCCCAGCAGAACTGATCTTTATCAACTTGAACGTGCCCAAACAATGGCAAAGAAGCCAAAACCTCTCCACCCTTCTCCACTAATTGAGCCAAGAAGTTAAAAGGAAATGACACTTGTACAAGTTTGGAACCAAAACTGAACTGCTGAGTCAAATGCTAGCACCAAGTGTAGGGAATAGCTGCATCACTTTGACATCACAGGCCAGACTGTGCTGTTACAAGTATATAGCCTAGCCTAACACTGTGAAATATAAAAGGACATTCTTCATAGGACACACAGTTGAAATCTATTCCTGAATTTCCTGAACTTGTCACACAAAGCTAAATGCAAGTATTATCAGAGAACCAGTGTACAGTACCGTGTTTAAGCAGTGCAAGCCCAAAATAATGCCATGCTGAGTCAAGATGTGTCAAATGCTTGGTGAAGGACAAACACCCACATTAACTTTCAAAGCCACAACTGCTTTTCAGTCACTTCATTGATAAGCACTCTTTCTAAGTGCTGGCAATATTCCTTCAGCAAAAATGTAATTGCTAATGTTCGAAGTTGCTGACACTACAGCCCTGTTCAACAGCTGACTAATTGGTGGAGGGCGTCATACAAACCCCATACACACCTCTTATGACCAGCACAGCTTAGTGTTTTGTTTATGTCTTAGCCTGATGGAGAGATTTAACCCAGTAAATTTGTCCTGCGAAATAGGCATTGCAGCACTTAAAAAACAAAAAAACTCCACCCCCTATGCTAGGGATGAGGAGCTCAACATGTGGAAGACATGCAGCCAGTCCATATTCTTGGATCAACAAAGGTAATTGCAGGTCATTTCTGTTTACACGTGACACTGCTGCTGCATGGGAACAGGAGCTGGAGTGAGGAGGGGAACAGAACTCCTCCCCTGGTGAGAAGGTGAGTTGGTGGGTTACCTCACTGTCTTTGGAGTCAAACCTGGATCTTGCACATTCTGGGCTGACTTTTAAACCAGTTCTGTAATGCAGGAGGATGCAGATAACTCCTACAATGTTCTTTCTTTATTTTTTTGAGAGTGAAAGCTATTTAGCACTGAAAGAAGTCAGAAAGTCCATTACTTTGCATAAGCCTTCCAGGTGGCAGTAAGATTGCACGGGCTGTGACAGAATCTTTCTGGAGGTGCCTACATCCCCCAGGTACTGCACAGGAAGCCTGAGACAGGACTGCAAATTCTACTCTACAGTGGTAAATACCACCCACCCCACACCCCCCTCCCCCAAATCCTATAGCACAGGCCACCCGTATTAATCAGCTTTCATGCATCCTTTAGAGTAAGAGGACCTGGAGGTAGTTCATCCTTTTGCAAAGTCAGGAGACAAAGAGAAAAAAAAAGCTTAATTTGTTACTAATATATCAAGAGAGCAATAAACAAAATAGGGGCAAATACATATCCAGAAATCCTATGTGCATTGGTGTCTGAACACATCAATATTATCTGCAGTCTGTTCGCTTATTCTGCACCAGCTGCTATAAGGACCAAGGAAGTAATCAGGAGGTCAAACTGAAGTTAGGTTTGCTTGCAACATATGGGATGCAGCTCACTACATCATCTGTTTCCAAAGTCATCTCTCATGTACAACACTCAAACATATTGCCATGTAGTACTTCTGGCTAGCTTTTCCCCAGAAGACAAAGAAGCAAGAGGGGGGAAGACACAGGAAGTTTGTACATAAAACATAATGATTTGGAAGTTTGTTTGAAAGAATTAGCACTTATTAATTCCAAACATCTGGAGACCTTTTAAAAAACCTTACACTGCAAAAGTCAGTATCTGTCCAGGAGACAACTGTGAAGGTTCAATCACAAGTGTGCTTATTTTGTCCCTCTGTTGGCTCTGGCTGGGATGGAGTTAACCTTCCCCACAACAGCCCTCACCATGCTGGGTATCAGTAGCTAGGAAGGTGTTGATAGCACACCAGGCTTTGGCTACTGCTGAGCAGGGCTCCACAGCATCAAGGCTGCTTCTCCAACATCCTCCCTCACCAGCAGGCTGGGGGTGGGCAAGGTCTTGTGAGGGAACAGGCTGCCCAGGGCAGTGGTGGAGTCACCATCACTGGAAGTGTTCATACACCACGTAGATGAGGCCCGAAGTGACAGTTTAGTGGTGGACTTGGCAGTGCTGGGGGAATAGTTGGACTTGATGATATTAAAAGTCTTTTCTAACCTAATTGATTCTATGATTCTATATGAGATCTACACATCAGACTTGCCTGCAAATCTTTGCTGCAATGTGCTGAGCATTGAAAACCTTTGAAAATGTCTCATTTCTACATGCTTGTGCAGGAGCTGAATTCTTGAATGTCTACTAGTCATGGTCCTCTGAACCTTAGTACTGAGGCTTTGGATTCAGCAAAACATGTAAGTGTTATCATTATAGATAAGTGTGCACTTAAGCATTTTGCTGAAGAGGGAAATCAGTGGATAATTTATCTTGCAGTTCTGTAGTGGAGGCATAAAAAAAGAATCTTTTTCTGCAGAGCTGCTATT